TTTATTTATTATGCATACAATATTCTTTCTGTGTGCCAGAAGAGGGCACCAGACCTCATTACAGATGGTTGTGAGCCACCACGTGGTTGCTGGGAATTGAACTCAGGACCTTTGGAAGAGCAGGCAATGCTCTTAACCACTGAGCCATCTCTCCAGCCCTTCCTTTTTTTTTTTTTTATAAAATACTTTTAATAATTATTTTAAGGTTCTTACAAACTGGCTTATTATTTTTGGAACTGCTTCTGTCGTATTTTGTGTTATCATGCCCTACCCCACATACACACCCCCGCTTTTTGTTTTTTAATTTTAAACAAGATTTTATTGTGTAATTCTAGCTGTGGCCAGGAACTCACTGTTTAGACCAGGCTGATTTCAAACTCATATAGATCCACCTGCCTCTGCCTTCCATGTTCTGGGATTATTAAAAATGTGTTTAGCCCTTGATTCTCTTTTTAATTTTATGTTTATGACTGTTTACCTATATATGTATATATGCATCACTTAGTGCAGGGTCCTCAGAGGCAAGAAGAAGGCGTTGGATCTCTTCAAACTGGAGTTAGAGACAGTTGTGAGCTGCCATGTGGGTGTGGGGAACTGAACCTGGGTCTTCTACAAAAGCAGAAAGTGCTCTTAACACTAAGCCATCTTTCCGCCCCTCTATCCATTTCTTGCTGCTGCTGCTCCTGGTGGTGGTTTTTAAATACATAGCCCAAGTGTATCAACTTGCCTTGAATTTGTAATTCTCCTGATTCAACCTCCTGATGTTAGAATTACAAGAGTGTGCCCAGTGCCCAGTTAATTGATTACTTTATTGTACTTTTTATAAATGTTGGTTGTATACTATGCTTTCAATCTGGCTCATAGTCTCCCATCTTCCTCCTTGCAATCCTAGGAAATGTTTAAAAAATGTACTGGGTGTTAGAGATATCTGTGGTTTTTAATTAATAGTGCCAGTCATTGACTATTATACATAATACATGTATATACAACTGCTCAAATCTGCTTTTCTGATTTCTCCATTGTGTGGTAAAGTTACTCTGAACCATTATACACAAATATATCCTAGAAGGAAATATTCCTGACACCTGAGTAATTTTGTCTCTTTTGGGTATCTGGAGGGACAGCCATGGGTACTGGGAACTGAACTCTTATATTTTTAGTTGTGAGCCTAGTCCTTAACAGCTGAACCATCCCTCCAGGTGGAGTAATTTTGTCCTTAAAGCTTGTATAGCTCTCTCTCATATTTCCAGAAATAAGATAGTGCACACCTTTAAGCTTTGGATCTCTTTGAGTTCGAGGCCAGCCCGATCTACGTAGTTCTAGGACAGCTAAGGCTACACAAAGAACCCTGTATCAAAAAAACAAAAACAAAAAACAACAGAAAAGATTTTTGTAGTTTATACAGCTTCTTTAGTTTCTGAAATAAGAGCATTTGTTTGTGATCTGCCACATCATATTAGATCTCCGACACTCTTTCAAGCCAGTCTGGCTAATACTGTTTTTAGCTCAGCTCCATTGCCAATAGTATACCAGGTTTACTTGTAGGTGGGAAGTCTTTGATGTACTGTCAATTTGATTTGCTTTTGAGAATTAAAGATTCTTTGGCTAAACGCTTTAATACTGACTGATAAGAATGGGGTTGTTGCAACTCCAGTTTGCTCAAACTACAGCATTTTAGATGTGCAAAAACCATGTTTTTGTATGGTTTCTGATTTTCAAGTTATTAAATAATAACTTTTTATTACATTTATTACAGTAATGTTAATTTGTCTTTTTGTGTTGAAATGTGAGTTTTCATTGTTTTTTTGAAATGGAGTTTCTCTTTATAGCTTTGGAGCCTGTTCTAGAACTTGCTCTGTAGACCAGGCTATCCTTGATTCACCTGGCATGAGTTTAATCTTACTGGTATCTTCTATTACTCTTCTCCCAACAAATAACTAACTGCCTTGATAACTATCTTAGCTGGATTTTAGCTTAAAGGTCTTTGAGTTTACTCTTTGCCCATAGGAAATATTTTTTAAAAAAAGATTTAATTCATTTTAATGTGTATGGGTATTTTGCCTGCCCATATTTCTACACACCATAAACACGCATTGCCTGTCAGCCCAGAAGAGGGCATCAGACCCCTGAAACTGAAGTTAGCAGGTGGCTGTGAGCTGCTATGTATGTGGTAGGAATCAAACCTGGGTCGTATGGGAAAGCATTCAGTTCTCTAAACCCCTGGACCAACTCTGCCTATAAGGCTTTAAAAGCTTTATTGGATCAAGAAGATCTTTCATGAAACCCATTATCTGCCTGGGAGACACAAAACAAACACAATATACAGTTAGGTGATGATTGCTATGGGTTAAAAAATGAGAACAGCATCAAAGAAAGGAGAATTTAGAGTACATGTGTTTTGTTGTTGTTTTTGTTTGTTTGTTTGTATTGGGTTTAGGGGTTTTTCCAGACAGGGTTTCTCTCTGTAGCCCTGGCTCTGTATACCAGGCTGGACTCAAACGCAGAGATCCACCTGCCTCTACTTCTGGAAAAGGGATTGACGGTGTGCACAATACAGATATTCTTATTTACTCAACCTTAATAACTGTTTGATACAAACAAAAAGACAAGATTTTAAACTGGTCTTGATAGCATACATGCACATTACATAGCTTGTAATGCCAGCTATGAGCAGAGTATCTTAAATCTTTAATTTTAAATACCTTTCAGGTTCAGTAGTCAAGCATGTTTATGAAAAACACTTAAATATCTGATTCAGTTTATGGTTAAACTACCATTTTTTCCATATGCATTGGGATTAAAAACCTATTGAAGTTGTTACTGGTATGATTCTGTTGGTATATTTCAAGTTGAGCTGAGTGTTGAACTTCTCATAATTTGTGCTACTTTGATTTCTCCGGGCATAGTGATAAACATGAATATGGTACATTTTTGCTTTAGGTGCTTTTTAAGAACTATGTATGCTATATTTGCTTCTGTTTATTTTTTTTTTTTCAGAGAAAATTTATCAAAGGATCTTTACTTGATATCTCAAATGGATAGTGATCAGTTCATCCCAATATGGACAGTTGCCAACATGGAAGAAATAAAAAAACTGACCACAGATCCAGATTTAATTCTTGAAGTGTTGAGATGTATGTAAACGACTTTTTAGCTTTTTTTTTTTTTTTTTCTCTTTTCTAACCCTCTCCCCAAGATGGTGTTTCTCAGCTTTGGAACCTGTCCTGGCTCAAACTCATGGAGATCAGCCAGCCTATGCCTCCCAAGTGCTAGGACTAAAGGCGTGTGCCACCACCGCCACGCTAGCTCTTTTATAGTTACAAAGTTAACAATTTTTATTTATAGTTATACAGGGAATTGTTTTAAGTAGCCTTTAGTGTGTGTATGTGTTAGTATGTATGTTCTTTTTAATCTTGTACACCTAGCAAGTATTAGCAGGTAAAGGTTGTTGTATAGGAATGGCCTCATTTGTTTTATTATGATTTCACAACCTACTAATAAGTTTTGACCTACCGTATAGTTTGACAAATACTCCTGGAGTTATTATTTAATTTTTATCCCCAATTCTTATCCTTTGTATAAGAACAAAAATGTTGGGGTTCCTCATCACTAGGAAAAGGATATACATGGAAGTCATAATAAATGCTTTTTTTCCCCTGAAGGATTCTTTTCAGCACTTTTAATTACAGTGTTGGTGCTCCAGATACTTATATTAGCAAATAACATTTGGTAATCATCTTTGCATACAAATCCCCCCCTTTTTTCTTTTTTTAAGCATGACAGTAATTTTTGGCATTTTACCTTAGCATTTGACAATTTATTTGGTAAGAAAGTGAACTGATAATTTTTCATGACATTATTAATTTCATTACCTGTCACTTTTAAGTAAGATGTGTTTTTTTTTGTTTTTTTTTTTTTTAATTTCAGCTTCCCCTATGGTACAAGTTGATGAGAAGGGGGAGAAGGTGAGACCCAGTCATAAGCGTTGCATTGTAATTCTCAGAGAAATTCCTGAAACTACACCAGTAGAGGTAATTATTGATAATTACTAAGACTAACTGTTTTTTAATTGTTTAGATCAGAGGAAGTAGGCAAGCAAAGTAAAAATCAATAGCTTCTTATCAGACTTGTTAAATTAAAGTATTAAAATAGAATAAAGGAGGAAGAATGTATATGTCTGTGTTCTTAGGAGAATAAACCTAAGTATTGCAGTAATATTAATTTTGAATGACTGACAATTAACTAGGAGGATTCATCCAATAAATTTTGAAGAAGAATTGGTTGGCAAAATGTAAAAGAAAGCCACAGACATATGGATCAAGTGTGGTTCAGGTTTGGGAATAAAATAATATTTGAATAAAACAGCATACTTCAGAATCCTACCCTTCTAAAAATACACACATATATATTCTGCCAGGAATCACTGACTAACGTTACGTCTTTTGATTTTTCAAGACGGGGTTTCTCTATAGTGCTTAGGAGTCTGTACTGGAACTCTTGTTGAAGAGGAAGGCCTTGAACTGAGAGAGCTCCCAAGACCTCCGCCTGAGTCTGCCTCCTGAATGCTGGGATTAAAGGCTACCACCACCTGGCTCTAACTTTACAATTATTCAAAGCCATAGTTATGTGTTGTATAGACAAAGTAACTGAGCTTTAAGATGATTTTAAAAATTACCCAAATGTAAGTGAGTTAGATTATTAGGCTGTGGAGGTGGCTCAGTGGTTAAGAGCACTGCCTGCTCTTCCAAAGGTCCTGAGTTCAATTCCCAGCAACCACATGGTGGCTCACAACCATCTATAATGAGGTCTGGTGCTCTCTTGAAGAAGAGACCTGGTCAGTCGTCCTCATCAACTTAGACCATGAAACTCAATATGGACAAGTTCAACACAGCCACCATATACGGGCTGCACGTGGATGCTTCAGCATTGCCAGGGCATAAATTTCAAATTTTTTTCAAAGTGAGTTAGATTACATGGCAGACTAGATTGAAACTTCGTGAAATTCCAGAGCTTATGTTTAACTGCTGTGCTAAGGGCTTCGTTATAAATTGCATGTGGCATATGGATAAATTAAAGAAGGAATTGCATAGTTACTGACTTTACTGTAATTTGTTAGAATTTAAAAAAAAATGTAGGCCCAATTTATATGATTTTATATGATGCCTTCATAGTTAAATCTTTGCCCAGTCATTCACGTTACGTATCTGAAATGTTGCCTTCCTAAACCTACAAGTAGTAAATGGACTGAATGATGAAAACAGATGCAGATAGCTTCAGAATAGGCTTGATTTGATTATTAAATTACTGTTTGATCTCTCTGATACTCCTGGAAATGTTTGTTTTCTCGCTCTTTGTAAGTTCTTTTCAATTCCCCCTACCCCCAGACAGGGTTTCTCTGTAGCTTTGGAGCCTGTCCTGGAACTAGCCAGCTCTTGTAGACCAGGCTGGCCTCGAACTCACAGGCCTGCACTACCACTGACCGGCTATTTATTTATTTATCTATCTATCTATCTATCTATCTATCTATCTATCTATCTATCTATCTATCTATTTATTTTTTAAGCCGCCTGCCTCCCTCCCTGCCATGCTCATTGTCCCCAGGGGTTCCCCCTTGTTCATCCCCCCCCTCCCCACACAGTCCTCTGCTTCCATATTCTGCTCAGGGAGGGCTTGGAAGGAGGAATGGGGATTCTCTGCCCAGAGGCCGAAAAGGAGAGGGTAGGCACTCAGAGCCACCCCTGAGCTGGGCTTCTAACTACAAACAAGCCCCTATCACCAAACTTTAAACTTTCTTTTTAACTATTAACTCTTGCCTTACCAATCTCAGTTTTGTTATAATCAGTTTTTTTTCTGGATTTATTTTTTGGTAAGTTAGATAGTTATAGGAAAGATGTTTGTACAGAGTTCATACCTGATTCTGATACAAAAAAAATATCTAAATTAGATAAGAATGTATGAATGGTATTATGTTAGTAAAGATCATAACTTAAAAACTTTTCTCCTTGCTGGGTGGTGATAACACACACTTTTCCCCAGCACTCAGGAGGCAGAAAAAGGCATATATCTGTGAGTTCGAGACCAGTCTGGTCTACAGAGCTAGTTCTAGGACACCCAGGGTTACACAGAGAAACCCTGTCTGAGATAAACAAACAAACAAACTTTTCTCTCTGTTGAGGAGGAAAATGACTTGGGAGAGAGCTAAATAAGGAAACTTTAGCTTGCCATTAGAACTGAAGTATTTCTGTTTTGTTGCTCATTAGATAAAGTTAGGTGCAAGTTTTACACCATAACCGCACATGTTTTCGTTTCAAGAGTTGACTGTATTTTTCTTTTTTAGGAAGTGAAAGCTTTGTTTAAAAATGAAAACTGCCCAAAAGTCATAAGCTGTGAATTTGCACACAACAGCAATTGGTATATTACTTTCCAGTCAGACACGGATGCGCAACAGGTGAGAGGAGAACTTCCTCCAATAAGAATCTCAGCGGAGAATATGTGTTTGGGGCCCAGTGGTAGAGTACAGGTCTAGGGTATATAAGGTCCTAGGTTCAGTTCCTAGTACCACAAGGAAAGGACCAGATATGATAGTTCCTTCCTATAGTCGTAGAACTTGGCAGAGAGAGACAGGCAAGGTCAGGAGTTGAGGACCAACGTTGACTATATAAGTGTTATTTGGGCCATCTTGGGTTATATGAGATCGTGTCTCAAAACTTTAATAAAAGGAAAATGTAAATTAGACATGGTAGTGATGGTGCATGCCTGTCAACAAAGCACTTGATACTGAAGCTGTTTAAGGCCAGCCTAGGTTGTTACAAAGTGAAACCATGGCAAAAGAAGAAGAAAGAAAATTTTACCAAGATTGGTCATACATTTTAAAATTGATATTTACTTTGTTTTTTATTATCTGCATATAATTTTAACAGATTGTTGTTGTTGCGTGTTTGGTTTTTCAAGACAGGGTTTTTTACTGTGTAGCCCTGGTCATCCTGGAACTCGCTCTGTAGACCAAGCTGGGCTTGAACTCAGATCCATGTGCTTAAGCATCCCCAGTGCTGGGATTAAAGACTGCGGAGCAGCATTGTCCAGCTTCGGGTTTCAGTTTTAATTTAAAAAAAAAATTTTATTTGAAAGAAAAATAGATGAACATAGACTTTAAACGTCACTATGTGAAGATTTACAGCTGTATTCAGTGGTAGTTTTATGGTGGCCTAGGCTATGTGGCAGTAGTCTTTCCTCTTGTCCTCCTGAAAGTTGGGAACAGATGTGAGCTGTCAGAGTGATCTTATTCCCCATTTTTCCTCTTTCATATGTATAAATGTGTTGTCGGTCTTTGTATGCCTGGTGCCCAAGAAGGCAAGAGAAGGGTGCTGGAACTAAACCTAAAGATGTGGAAATCAAATTCTTTTTGTTGTTTTGTTTTGAGATTGGGTTGTCTAGGGTTTTTGTTGTTGATGGTTGTAGTAGTGGTGTGTGGTTTGTTTGTTTGTTGCTGTTTTTTTGGTCTTGTCTGTATTTGTTTTGAGATAGGTGCTCACTATCTATGAGCTTGTAAGGTTGGCCAGGCTGGCCCCTCGCTCTTGGCAGTGCTGTGTCAGAGCCACCATTCCCACCGGAGTCAATTAGAGGTCCTTTGTGTTGTGCCTTTTGTCACAGCTCCTTACCAACTTCCTGCATTGCCTACAAGCCCTATCGAGGAATGTGTTGTTTTCTATTTTAGTCTTCTCAAGTTTTGTTGTTTTTGCCTTGCTGTGTGCTAGGCTGGGGTAGCTCACAGCAAAGCCCTTTGTAGCTTTCTGAGCACTGGGATTTCAAGTGTACAACACCACACAGCAAGACCTTTTTGTTTAGTTTAAAAACTGCTAATAGTAAGCTGATTTAATAGAATGAAAATGGCTTTAATGAAATGTGTAAATGTTAATAGAAGTTCATTTTTGTTTAAACAGGCCTTTAAATATTTAAGAGAAGAAGTTAAAACATTTCAGGGCAAGCCAATCATGGTAAGAAACATTTGTAAATGCATTAGATACTAGTGTGAAATAAGGGGTTTTGGGTAGAAAATGATTGATAGTTTTTTGTTTGTGTTTCTTTTAAAAGAATTAAAAATTCATGAAAGACGTTTTATAAAAAGCTATAATAATTTTAAAGACATTTCTGATTGTGTTCTTCAGAAAATTGACAGAAAACATGAAAATACTGACTATAGAATTTTTTTTACAGAGAATCACAAAGTTTTTATACTAGTTTACATTCTATAATTCTAGATCTCAAAATGAATAAGTATAATTTCTTAATGATGAAAACCATTTGCAATTCTTCCAGCCCTATGTCAGTTAACTGTGTTATCACAATTATATCCATTTAAGAGGGAATTGTCATTAATAATAAATTTATACAGTGTCCTTACATGTTAACTCTATTCTTAAATTCTATGAAATTTGTCTTCATACTTCTTTCCATCATTGCTATTTATTGTCTACACTTGACAGTTGGTGTAGCCTCATAACCACTGATGTACTAACTCCTTGTTTTCTTTTTCTTTTTTCTTTTCTTTTCTTTTTTTTTTTTTTTTTTTTTTTTTTTGGTTTTTCGAGACAGGGTTTCTCTGTGGTTTTGGACCCTGTCCTGGAACTAGCTCTTGTAGACCAGGCTGGTCTCGAACTCACAGAGATCCGCCTGCCTCTGCCTCCCGAGTGCTGGGATTAAAGGCGTGCGCCACCATTTGTTTCAGTTAAGCACTGTACACATATTAACTCATCTTTTCAAAAAAAATGAGGCAAGAAAATTGGTTGTTTCAGGCTAACTTGAGCTACGTAGTGAGAGTTCAAGGCAAGACTTGTACATTTGAAAGAACACCTGATTGAGATAGGTCCTCTTGTTTTCTCCACTTTGACTACTGAAGAAAATGGCAGTAGCTAGACTAGTGACATGTGACTGACTAGTTAGGAAAACGATTGGTGCAAGAATAGAGTTAACATGTAAGGACACTGTGTAACTTGCACCAATACCATATTGCACAAATACTACAAGACACTACTTATAAAAACTGACGTTTAAATCTGGTGACCTGTGTGGAGTCTGATAATACGAGTTTCCATATTACAAATGAGTTTCTTTTGCTAATTATTCCAGCTTCCTTTGTCTCTTTTTTAATCACTGTTTTCCTTTGAGGTTACAGAGATACTGTTTTGTGTCTCCCAATGACTTAAAGATTTTTTTAAATATTTATTTGTTTGTTTGTTTATTATGTATACTGCATTCTGTCTGTATGCCTGAAGGCCAGAAGAGGGCGCCAGACCTCTTTACAGATGGTTGTGAGCCACCATGTGGTTGCTGGGAATTGAACTCAGGACCTTTGGAAGAGCAGGCAATGCTCTTAACCACTGAGCCATCTCTCCAGCCCGACTTAAAGATTTCTTATGTATATTTTGATCTTTGATAAAACTTCATTAATTTGGTATATATTGTAGACTTACTTAATTGCATTTTTTAACATTTTAATTATTTATTTGTCTATATGTGTATGTCTATATATATGTGCATATGCCTGGGATTAGGGGCATCCTCTGTAGCTGGCATAAGCAGTTTAAGCTGCCTAATATGGGTGCTGGAAATTGAACTCAGGTCTTCTGTGAAAACAATACATGCTCATTTGTTTTTGTCTTTTTCTTTTGTTTTTGCTTTTTGAGGCAGGATTTCTCGGT